GTGATGCAAAAAAACAAAAACAAAAGCAAAAAAAGAAAGGACATGTAAGTGGACACAGGGAAACCTGGAGGGAAAAGGAAGATGTGAAATTGGCTGTTGTTTCTTTTCCTCCCTCACCTGCCTCCACATTTTCCTCCTTCCTTCCTCTCCCCACTCTTTCCTTTGCTGAAACATAGGACCAGTAGCCATTTGTGTTAGGAAACAATGAAGAGACCCTCGGTAAGGAGCTTCTTAGTTAGAGAAGAGCCATGTCTTATCCGCTGCCCTGTCCTGGGGGAGAGGGTGGTGCAGGAGGGGCCAGCCTGGACCAACTTCATACGTAATTCCAGTGATTCAGCAGAAAAACCGAGAAGAGTTTTTCTGATATTAACTTACAGCATTATGTTGAACTTTTAACAATATTTTTTTCTTTGAGTCACATCTCTTTACTCATATGGCTTCCAGTTAAAACCCATTTGGATTCAGAGGTTCCTTTTGCTGACCCTAGACTCTCCCGGAAGTTCCTTCCTCCTGCCCCGGACTCTCTGGGAAGTTATTTCTTCCTGCTTGGACCGGGAAGTTCCTTCCTCCTTCCCTGTACTCTCTGAATCGCCAGCAGAAGCAGGGATGGGGTGAACTGGGGCACAAGGAGATTGGTGGTGGAGAATTGACATTGGAAATAAGTCAGGCAAGGGGTTAGTGTGAGGAGTCCAAATGGTGAACTGGAGATCCCTGTTTTTTTGTTTTGTTTTGTTTTTGGTGGGGGTGGGACTGTAACTTGAAGGACAGAGAAAGACAGTCGAGGTGGTTGGAGATGTGTTTGGAGTGCAAAAGCTGGGGAATTTGCAGGAGGAAATGCATAGATGTTATGGGGCAGGTTGCGGCAGCATGACATTAGCAGTGGAGCCCAGTGGAGGAGGGGAGGCAGGGAAGTGCCACCATGCACAGAAGCTCAAACTAGACTCCTCTGGGGCTGCTGAGCAGGCAGCAGGAAGGTGGCCACTGACTGCAGTGAGTGGGCTGGACCACTGAGCTGTGGTCCATCCTTGGCCAGGTAGGGGCCATCTGGAGTTGACTGGTTGGGACAGAACATGCTAATGACCCAGCAGGGAGGAGCCTTTACCCTGAGTTTGGCTTGGCCTCTCTGCTTGACCTTCGCCATTTGGAGTGGACAGAGACCATGTTTTGCTGTGAAGTCAGTGAGCTGTACCTAACACCAAATGGCTTGACTAGCTTTCTTAGATTGAGCATCGGAACTGCCTTGACAGTGACCCAGATGGTCCACAGGAACCCAAGTGCCTTGGGGCCCTCACACTTGGCTCCCAGATTTGCTGTTTCATGGGCAGGGAGATTTAGTGGGGCGACTCACTAACCTTGGAAAGCCTGCAGTGTTCAGTGCTTATGCTGCATTTAATGCTGCCATTGAATCTCTTCTACTGTGCATGCAGGCTCATTCACTTACTAAAATGTGCACCTTCCAAGCATGCTTCACCAGGCATGCTCCTGACATTCTGCATTCTCCTAGGGGTGGATGCTCAGCATTCCTTCTGGAATGGACTGAAAATCTTAGGCACCAGACCCTCCATAGCTTCTAACATCGCAACTCTCCTGCCTTTAAGGAGTGACTGGGCTTACTTGTAGCGTTACCTCAGTATGTTTGTTGTTTGTTTTTGAAATATTGGCTCTGTGGCTGGGAATCTTAAAATGTTCAGCATTGTCAGGCATGTTTGTTATTTGGTTTTTGTTGTTATTTATAAAAGAGTCTTGCGCTTTGCAGAAACATCTTAAGATTACACCTGACTTCCCTTCTGTGATGAAGTTTTTTGCAAGAAAGTCACAAACACTCAATGCTCTCACAGCATGATTTGCTCCTTAATGACCATAATATATTGCCGAATTGTACCAGCTGTTTTTGACGGATTAGAAAGGGGTAGATAAATGTTGAGGGGATGGGGAGGGGGACACTCAAGCTTTCCAAGTTTCCACCTAGAACAAAACAACTGTTGCTATCACAGTGATTTTTCTGATTGTACATTTCATTTTAGACAGCTGAAAACTTTCAAGTACGTCAGTTAGATTAGTCAAGACTGCAAGTAACATCTCAGATGACTTCTGGAATTCCTGCCAGGAGTTTTACCCAATACTGTTGAAAATTGTTGACAACCAGTATTTAGTGAGAAGCCTCACTTTTGTCAGCTCCATGGCATCTCTTGGAAAGAAAAAGCTTGGGAGATCCAGTGTGTGTGCTCTGTGTCCTTCCATGTGGCTCATCAGCTGAGTTGGTGGTCCTGCCTCCTAGGCACTGCCCTGTGCCCTCACGCCATCTGCCTCGCTCTGGCAGGACTCTGACCTTCGACTCAGTCTTGAACAGCCCCATGTAGGTGGGTGACCCTAAGCTCCCTTCCCCAGCTCCAGCACCTGCCCACTTCTCACCCTGCTGTAGCATTGTAACTGTGGGGAGCTCCTGTCACCCAGATTATGACATGCTGTAAGTTTCCGCATTTCCCTCTCCACCTTACTTTTCCAGTTCCACTGCCATCCTCTTGTCTGCTAAGAGTCAAATCATTACTGGATTTTCCTAGTTTGCTTCCACATCTAAAGTCCACACGGGTTCCCCATTCCCTCTTGGAGGCATGTCATCCAGTGCTAGTCCTCCAGTGCTAGCTTTCCATATCTGTACTCTCCAACCGCACCTCCCAGCCCGGTGAAGGCACAGCTAATACAGAGACACCAGGCCAGGCTCCAGGCAGCCCACCTGATTTCTTGGTCCTGCTGCTGAGGGACAAGGACTGACTTTAGCAAACTCTTTTTATTTTGTCACCTTCCTTTGCAAACAGCTGTGATTTTCATTATCCATTCCTCCACTTAGAGCTCACTCTTCAGTTTTTAAGGCTTCTCCAATGACCACTGCACATCATTTTTGCCAACTCGGGTTTCTGTTTCTTTCTTTTCTTTTCTTTTCCCTTCCTTCCTTCCTTCCTTCCTTCCTTCCTTCCTTCCTTCCTTCCTTCCTTCCTTCCTTCCTTCCTCCCTCCCTCCGTTCCTTCCTTCCTTCCTTCCTTCCTTCCTTCCTTCCTTCCTTCTGGAGTCTCACTCTGTTACCCAGGCTGGAGTGCGTGCAGTGGCATAATCACGGCTACTGATTGATTGATTGATTGATTATAGAGACGAGGTCTTGCCAGGTTGCCCAGGCTGGTCTCAAACCCCTGGGCTCAGGCAATCCTTTTGCTCTGGCTTCCCAAATTGCTGGGATTCTAGGTGTGAGCCACCGTGCCCAGCAAGCTTCTGTTTCCTGACCTGGATTCATCCCCACACCCTTTCTTCCACAGGTGTGGCACCTCCAGGTCTTCTCTTCCTCGGCTGGTTCCAGATTCATTCACACCCAATTCAGAGTCTGCTTGCCCCTCCATACATATCCCAGTCTTCCCCACTGGATCTTGATGACTATTTTGCTCTGCACTCCTGCAGATCCCATATGTTAGGGGGTCAGAAGCGTGGAGGGTTCAGAGCACAGCAGGCTGGAAGGCAGGTCTTGCTGGGTGGAGCTCGGTCATCTCAGGTTTTGAGACTACCATGAGAAGGGCATGAATGACACTGGCCTACCTGGGTGGCTGTGAGTCGATGTGGTAGTGGATGTAAAGGGCCTGGCCCTGAGGCATCAGCAAGCTGGTACTCAGAGAGTGTTGCCAGCTACGCCTCACAGTCACAGGTTTGAGTGATACCTTCCCTGCAAAGAGGCATCTGGTTCTACCTCGCTGTGCACTTCTGTGCGTTCTGGAGTGCCTGCCACAGTTAAACATCTTGCAAAGAGGGAATATTCTTTTTTTTTTTTTTTTTGAGTTGGAGTCTCACTCTGTCGCCCAGACTGGAGTGCAGTGGCCGCTTCCGGCCACTGCAACCTCGACCTGCTGGGCTCCGGCGATCCTTCTGCGTCAGCCTTCCAAGTAGCTGGAATTACAGGTGCTCACTGCCATGCCCAGCTAATTTTTTTAATTTATTGTAGAGATGAGGTCTCACCAAGTTGCCCAGGCAGGTCTCGAACCCACAGGCTGAGGCAATTCACTCACCTTGGCCTCCCAAAGTTCAGGATTACAGGCTGAGCCACAGAGCCTGGCCAAGAGGGAATATTCTAGAGTGCCTGCCGCAGTTAAGCATCCTGCAAAGAGGAATAGTCTAGAGTGCCTGCCTCAAAGGCTTGCTGAGAGGGGAAGACAGGGAATGGTAATGAGTGGCAGAGATCGGCTATGGCTGTCAGTATTATTATTTTACAAGTCTGGGCTGTCACAGTGAGCTGAGATGTATATAGTAGAAACTCAGGATACTTCTCAATGGTGTCTTTGTCTGCAGGTATGTCTTAGAGTGACTGCGGGTTGGCAACTACCTTCTAGGGACAATGACAGGAAGTTTGAGAATTTTTCACCATTCCGTCTTCTTTGGCACTTTTTTGCCTTCTGTTGCTCTGTCTGCCACTTCGGGACACATTATACATGTATCCTGGTTGCAATACACACAGCATGCCAAGGAATACTCACAGTGTGTAGGGTGAGTCACTGTGTTTTCCTTTATTTTAGGAATTCGGGCTGAGGGGCATCTTTGTTTCTTAGGGTTTCCATTCATTGGGAGCACAAAAGACTCAAATGTATAATCATAGTAATTAGCACCTTCTCCGAACTCATCTTATTTCAGAATGTTTCTGACACTGTCACCACCTGCTTTGCCCCAATATTAACTTTCAATCTCGCGCGGATGAGTTTTCCCAAGAGCTTGCCACGGTGCTCTCTTCTGTGTCGTGCATGACCAGCACCCTCGGTTTTATAGCAATAGGGTTGTGCTGAAGATGGAATTAACTGTGACAATTCAGGAGGAGTTTTATGGGAAAAGAAGATGAGCATATTGGGTTTGCTGTGCTTTCTTCCCTGATGCCTATAATGTCTGGCAAAATGAGATCTCCATGCCCAGGCTCAGCGGAGGAATGTCCATGGACACTTTAGGCATGTGTCTCTGAGGGTCATGGCCGCCTCTTTCTTTCTCACCACGGGGATGAGCTGCTTCATTATCATCTAAATTGGAAGTCATGGTGATGGTTCTTTTTTGATTCTACTATTTATGTTTTTGTTTATATGTTAAGAACTTGTGTTGTATAGAAAATGTGTTATTTAGAAGCTGCTATTCTTCTTTAGACCAGACAACATTGTATCTTTTTCAGATATTATGTATATAGACATAAAAGGGAAGATTTTATAGTGTTAGACCAGATCCAACTTAATTTGTTTTCTTGATTCTTTGACACAGGCTAAATAATACTACCTGTTTTCACCAGAAAATCACATTTTCAAGCTGCAATTCCTTCTGAATGGTTTTTGTGATGATAATGCCAGAAGATTATTTATATATATTCTTTTTTTTTTTCTCTTTTTCTCCCAGGAAACCAACATGTCTGACAAAAGTGACTTGAAAGCCGAGCTAGAGCGCAAAAAGCAGCGCTTGGCACAGATAAGAGAAGAGAAGAAACGGAAGGAAGAGGAGAGGAAGAAGAAAGAGGTGAGTCCTGGCTCTGGGGTGTCGGAGGAAAGCAAGCCACGTGACTGCCAGGGGTGGCTGGATATGTGAATCGAACTCCCTGAAATAACCCTGTTATGAAGCCTGAATAGCATGAGTGGCGTCTGTGTGCTCACCATGGCAAGGTTGTGACCACTGACTGTGTGGATCACCCTGGGCTGGTGGAAGATCCCCATCCACATACCCCAACCCCAGGGTCGCCCAGGCCGGAGCAGGAGCCTGGCATGGTCTGTGACCCATATTGTTAGAAACTCCTTAGCCTTTCTGTTCCTTAGTTTCCTAACCATCATATGGGATCCATAATGTACTTATTTTGTGGGGCCGTGAGGATTAAGAGCATTAATCCTGTGTAGTATTTAGTAGTACCTAGAATATAACCAGTACTTAATAAGTGCTGGCTTAAAGGGAAGGTTAAAAAAAAAAACTACCAGTAGGAACATCTTAGGAGAAAAATGAAAGTGATACCAATGGATTTCCATTGTTTCCTGAGAGGCGTGACTTTCTCATGGGAAATAAGAGTCCTAGGTTTGGTGAATGAAAGGCTATGCTTTGCTTGAGAGAGTGGATAGGCGCACAGGACTGAGGATGATGATTTGTCAGTACGGCAGGAAATGTCAGAGATTTTTCACTGAGGCCCCTCTCTGTGCCAAGAAGGCAAAAGAGACCCAGAGGAGAAATGTGGCCTTTCTGCTTCTGGATCAAGAACCCAGGACTCTTGGACCCCAATTCCACACCTTGCCATCATACTATGTTTTTTTTCCACTGTTGCAATCTATTAAATAATGTCGTTTTAACTCTCCAGTTGGTTGTGGCCATGTAGAAGTAGCCCACATCTCATACAAAAACTAGATGCCTAAGTTATTTTTGAATAGTTTTCTAAGAAGAAAACTGTGTAGTATGATATGCTTGTGTGTGCAAAAACACAGCCACTACCTTGACGGGTCTCCTGATGAAAAAGAAAGTGGATTTGGATGTACTCTAAGGCTAGGAGACCAAGGCAGCAGATGCGTCGCAATTATGTTCCAACAAAGTAAAAGATAATTGCAGCTGCATTTCAATCTTCCAGCATCTCGCATCTCCGTCCCATTATGCATTGATTGATGTGGTTGTTCATGTGTCCCCGACAATCACACAGAATGTTTTCTCCATGAAGATCTTTGCTGCTACATATACAGCCTTTGAGCGAAGTAGAGGTGAGAATTGACAAGGAATGGCTATTCATTTCCATGCAAAGTCAAAAAAAAGCATCATGCTATTATGTTTCCATTCCCTCAAATGTCGACACTTGCTGTAGTTTTAAAACACCTGTTATTCCTTACTAATAACCAGTTTCCCTTTAAACTGACACTCTAACACTCAACTTGAATTTCATAGAATTACTGCAAAATGCGTGTGATATGGAGAATCTGGCTCCAAATTATGCTGTCTGCTTTATCGTTTGCATTTTACACATTTTAGGGAAATTGCAGGCACACGTGACGGATTGAGGCAGGCTACTCCTTTTTCTTTTGCACCGAGCAGTTTTGCCTGGTGGGAGTTTAGCCTGTTACCTAGCAAAGAGAGCCCCATGAGGCTGGGGCACTAGTGGAGGGAAGTGTGAACTCTTGATGCTCCTGTCTGCTGCCTGGTTCTGAATCTAACGTCAAATCGTCTCGGCTTTTGCATTTCTTTATTATTATTATTGTTTAATGAGTCGGGGGTCTCACTCTGTTGCCTGGCTGGGGTGCCGTGGTATAGTCACAACTCCCCACAGCCTCAACCTCCTGGGCTCAGGTGATCCTCCCACCTCAGCCTCCTATAGTGCTGGGATTACAGTGTGAGCCATTGTGCCCAGCTGGTTTTCACATTTCTGAACTGACATGGAGGTGACTGAAACTTGTTTCACAGTGTCAGTTAGCAACAGAGTCCTAGGCTCCTTTCCTCAGAGCTTCTGATTTGAGTGATCCAAGACAGGGGCAGGCTTGGGATCCACTATACCTCATTACCTGTAAGGCCTCTTCAGACTTTAAATCCTCTCCCTTCACAACCCACCTCCCTCATAATGACCTCGCCCCGGCTCTGTGTAAGCAATTGTGGCAGATGCTGCTGACTTGGTGTTCCAAGCAGCCAAGACTGTCAGATAGAAGACAGTGGAAGCTGGGTGTCGTGGCATGCGGTTATAGTTCCAGCTTCTTGGAAGACTGAGGTGGAAGGATCACCTGAGCCCAGCTGGTGGAGGCTGCAGTGGCCGTGAACATGCCACTACCCTCTGGCCTGGGAGACAGAGTGAGACTCCAACTCAAAAAAAAGGGGGGAGCACAGTGGTTACATCAAGAGGTTTTTGAGTGGAACACGGCTGAGAAGCCTGGCTGGGCCCCACCCACAGTGGCCTCAAGTGAGTAGGAGACCCTTGAACCTGCTTCCTCCTCTGAGAAATGGGGAAAGAGCGGTGCTTTCCCACTGATTCAAGAGGACTTGAAATCCTGCGGGTCCACGAATGACACAGAGGAACTGGTCAGTGAGAAAGAGTCAGTCATTTGACCTCCAAGATTAGCCGTCAGAGGAGGCCAGTTAAGCCCATGGAAGGGCTGTGTGGGTCTGTGAGAGTTCACTTAGTGTGATGGTCTCCGGTGGCAGCCATGTTGCTGCAAAGGGCATGATTTTGCTCTTCTTTATGACTGTGTCATATTCCATTGTGTACATGTACAAAATTCCTTTTATCCAGTCCCCTTTTGTTGGGCATCTGAGTTGGTTTCATATTTTTTCCAAGACACTGAATACCGCCTGTTCTCATGACATTGGGTATGCAATCACAAAGGTAGGTACAACTGACGCAGGCACTGTTAGCTGGGAAGAGGGGAGGGGGAATGAGGGGCACTCACCCCCCCCACTGGGTACCAGTTTCATGGGACTGTAGTATTTTATGGCTGGAAGGAATCTGGATGTGATCGACTCTGGTTCTCTCTTCAGTGAGGAGGCCGGACCACAGAGGCTTAAGCCATAGAGGGAGGACCCTGTGTCCCCCATCACTTGGAGAGCCCCCCATTCAGTCAGCCATCCAGATGAGAAACCTGCACCATCCTCTGCCCACCGTCTCCCCAGTCACAATGGTCGACATCCTGTGTGGGCACAGCAGAGTACTTTTTTCTCCCCCCCTTCTCCTAAAATCCACTTTCCAACCAGATTTGGCTACTTCTATGTCCCTTCTGGACCACACTCTCTCTCTACAGGGAGCCTGCGATGTTCCTTCACCTCTGCATTCTCTGACCTCCTGTGTTTCCCTGTGGCCTCTCACCTGGCCATGAACTGTCTTTCCATTCTCATCACCAGAAAACTTCCTGTGACACCTTTCTCTACCCAGAGCCAGGTCGCTCTTGCATCCTGTCCTTTACCCGATCTTGCCACTTAGCACTGAGTGTCATAGCTTCCTCTTTACCTGTCTTTTTCTTTTAATGTATGACAAACTTCCAAGGGCAGGGATATGTGTGTGTTATCACAGAGTTGAGGTCCAGTACAGAGTTGGCCACCTAGCGGGCCTTCAGTTACAGAAAGGATAATAAATGAGGGAAAATGTGAACACAGAGACTCATTCGGGCAGGCCTGAGATGCTGGTCCAGGGCCTCCTTTCTAAGCAACTGGCATTCTGTCCTGTGAATCTTGGAAGTATCTGACCCAGAGTCTTGCTGATGCTCCGGTCAACTGGCTGCTGCTGTTGACTGCTGAGGGCAAGGTTTTCTATTTTTTGTGTTGTTTATAGAGAATTAGAAATAGCCTTCAGTTTCTAGGTTTGAATTTTATAAAGTTTCTTCAGGATTATATTTTAAAGAAAACAAATAGATTAAAATGAAACAAAATGCTCTTGCATGCTAAACTGAGTGACCCTTGTTTGATCATGATTCTGAAAACGTGTGAGAGTGAAGACCACCCAGGCTGACTATCTCCACAGAGTCCAGAAAACTGTGTCTGTGTTGTATAAAATTACCACACTCTGCTTTTTTGGATGTCAACTGCTTTCTTGGCTGTGGTGTTATGGATGAAATCTGATTTTAAAATAAATACAGTGACCACCATTTAAGACATAGGCCTGATTTCATGAGCACTTGGCCTCAGCGCAATGAGGTGAACTCAGTACGGCCACCCTGAAGCTTTACTTTGCCCCTGGCGTCCTGCCGAGCTGTGGATGGAGCCTGGGTGGGGCTTCCCTGGCCTGTCCGCACATGCCTCTTTCATCAACTTGGAAGTGTCTTCAGAAAAGTGATTGACAATTCTCTGCTGATACATTTTCTTTCTGAAATTTTCCTCTCTGGGTCTCAGCTGTGGTTATTCCCCTATAAACAAAAAATATCACTTGCTGAGAAAGGCTCCTTGTAGATTTTTAATTGCTAGTACTGCAAAATCACTCCTTGTTGAGCCGTTAAAACACAGTAGGATTCTGTAGCATTTATATGGGAAAATCAAGTTTCATGACCAGGGCACTTAGTAGAACTTTTGTGGGTAAAGTTACACTTGTCTCCTTTAAGAACTTCATTGGTAACAGTCACTGCCTTTACTTCCAGTGAGTCTCAGTTATCTAATTTTGCATTTTTCGTGGTCAGCTTTGGGTGTTGATAGCTTTCCTAAGCTTCTGTTATGTCTAGCAGTGGGGAGAGGTGAGGGGGCATGAGGGGCACCCCCTCCCACATGTACTAGGTACCATGTCCATTACCAGGAGGAGAGAGGACTTGCTAGAAGTCCAGACCCCACCTGGATGCAATTTACTTATATAGCAAATCCTCCCATATACCCCACTACTCTAAACTTTTAAAAAATTAAAATATAATAAAATTAAGCTAAACTTAAATGTGTAGCTGGACATTTTTTCTTATTAACGTATGCTATGATGTCTCCTATTTCCTTGAGAATTAGAAAAGGCAGAAGCAGAGGATCAATCCAGAGGCATCCTGTGCTATGCAAGTGAGGTTGTGGTAATGGGGTCAGGTGTGCTATTTTTTGTATAATGTGAGGTTACGCATGCTGACGTGTGGTTGATCCTCCAGTATGGTGCTTGAATTCTTCATGGTTTAAGTTAGAATAAATCCCCAAACAAAACAAAACCAACACCAAATTCTGAACCTTTCTACATAGGACATATGTGACAGAAAGTCTTGGATAGCAGACCTTAAGTTCATTCAAAAGGAAAGTATGAGGCTGATCTTCTTCTGTTGATTCTGTGTAAGCACCATTAGGACCTTTTGGTCTCTTCTGCATGGACACTCTGGCGTCCTTCAATACATTTTTGTTGCGTGGATGAGGGAAGATCTCTTGTTATTACTAGAATGTAGAAATGACGTGTTGTGAGTGCTGGGAGGTCTAGATGACTTGACTTCCACAGGGTGTTGTCAAGGGGCTTCCTGAATGGGGCGCAGGTGATGGAAATTGGCTCGAGTGATGTGTCGTTCCAGGATTCTGTAACTATAAAACGGCAGTTGCCAGAAGCAGACACGCATCTGTTCAGTCAACACATTTCTTATTGTGCATCTACCATGTGCCAGTCACTGATCCAGGTGTGAACATATTGTGGTGACCAAAAAGTTATACATCTGCCCTCAATAAAGCTGGCAGTTCAGTAATGGCTTGATCCTACACAGAATAGTACCATCCTATTCCATGCTGCATTCCTGAGACAATTGTGCACGTCTTGGTATTTTCATCTACATTTCTGTGACTGCTGTGGTCATTGCTTTCTCCTATTCCCTGTTTTGCTCCATCCTTCCCTAAACTTTATGGTGAGTGAACGTTGATGCAGACCCTGTCTCCATAATACCCTTTCTCTCAGTCTCATTCTAACTTTGCCTCTGCTATCTATATCCATGGACTGTTGAATTTGCTTCCGTCATTTAAATGTGAAGACTGGGAAAGAACATGAACTTTGATATCTTCACTGGTAGGGACTGAGCTGCCATTTCAGAATTTTAGGTTACGCACAAACACTCTGGAACTCTCGTTAGCACTTACTGAACTCGAAAAGTTGGTTTTCTCACTACAACAGATAGACTTCAAAAATTCAGGTACTTAGGCCCGAGGTGGATAGTGACAGAGGTGCTGAGCCCGGTGCCACATGCAGACGAGTTTACAGTTGGTGTGAGGGCAGCTGCCTGGCAGTGAGTCCTGGGTTGCTCTTACTCTTCTGCTTCAGATGCCAGGACTACAGTTCTACCTCCCTGCTTTGACATGCATGCTTGCATGCCTGAGGGGGGTGGGGTACCTGTCAGGACTCAGCCTACTCCTGGAGCAGGGTGTATGCCTGATAACAAAATAATTGGATTTCTACACACTGTAGGACAGCCTCACTTCTGTGAACTCACAAAGCTTTGCAGTGAGGCAGCTACACATCAGAGATCATGCTGTCATGTTTCAGATGTAGCATAAATACCAAATCTTGAGTAGTATCTGTGTTATCAAGGAGAGAAGAGACCTGGCATGTTGAAATTTCCCCAGAATCCCGCCCCAGTTCCTTTTTACTGGCATTTTAATTTGTCAATGTCCTGTAAAAATAAACCATCATAGAATCCAATGTCAAGAGACTAGTATGAAAAACATGATGTGTTTTTTTTAAAACAGAATTTGTGAGAGGAACTTGTTCTAAATGACTTTTATACTATACTTTTCAACATAATTTTTTTCTTTGAGTTAGTATATATAATGGAATCCTATTAAAATCAGAATCAAGTAACAAGACATATCCATATTTTCACACACAGGTTTTAACCCAGTTTATTTTAAACCACGGTAAACTTGTCCTCCCAATACTTACAGTGTATTTTATAGTTGTGGACTTTTGTAAATAATTTTACTTTTCAGCCCACCAGATTCTTAGGAGTCAATTCCTTGTTTGCACAATCCTGAACATGGGGCGTGACTATGTCAAACACATATCCATCAACAACAGATGTCCCGGGAGGGAAAGAAGATTCAAAAAAGCAGACAAAAATTTTAAAATATATATACTGGGTGCCAGAAAATGTGTATGTATTTCAAGCGATGTTATCTATGTATTATTTTTTGAAGTTGAATTGAATTACGGTAGCCAAGTGTAGTATGACATTCCCTCAACCGTGCTTTGGCCATTTTCTTTGATTGTCCTGCCTGTCACATGGTGATGCTAGCATTCATTAGATTAATGACATCTTTTGAGTAAGTGTCATCCTTAAAATGTCTATGCATGTTTTTGACACCTCTGGTATACACAAATCTGTATCCTCAGTCAGAAGTACTTTGCCTTAATGTTTTCTTCCAAAACAGCTGAGAGAAACTTTCCTCCCCTGTGACAGAGGCAGGAAAAAGCCTTCTGTCCAAAGAAGCAGCACCAGCCTGTCAAGGTCCAGTAGGTTGGGTATGTGTGTTCATCCTGCACACCTGGGCGGGTGCCTCCTCAGGGTGTCTGCTGGTCCTCACCGCTGCACATCGATCACTCGGTCTCCACTGGAAGGACCGCCCAAGCAGTACTGTCCCTAACAGTTTGCACTAATGTTTGCTCTCTTTAGGCTGATCTGCAGCAGAAGAAAGAGCCCGTCCAGGATGACTCGGATCTGGACCGCAAGCGACGGGAGACTGAGGCCCTGCTGCAGAGCATTGGCATCTCGCCGGAGCCGCCGCTAGGTACTGCCAGTGCCAGCTCTAATCCCCAGAGCCAGCTTACGTTGGGGGCGCCATGTCCAGTGCTGACTGTTTTGCTCAGTCTTTAGCTCCATTCTTTCTTATTTTCTAAGGCATTCTGTGGCTTGTGGTTCGGGCTGCATGTGTGTTTGGAACTGAAGAGCTGGAAGGAGATTGGGAGCAAAGGTGGTGGACTTGCAGGCAGTGGGCAGCTCATGGGCTGTGGAGATGGTCAGCTTTCTCCAGTGTGCTACTCGTATGTTATTTGAACTTGCTCAGTGAGTTGCCACTCGGAAAATAGAAGAAATCTTGGAATTTCTTATTCAATTGCTCTTCATTTCTGTGGCTGAATCCCAGCCTCTCTTGCCAACCTAAATCCTGCGAATCTGGTTATGAATTTCATAACCACCACAGGCATAGAGTTATTCCGGAAGGAAATAGAATGCTAGGTGGGAAATGTGAAGGAAAACTTTAAATGGTGGCAGATTAGCAGCTAATTTACAAGTTTAAATGTATTCGATTCCATTATATATCTTGATTTCATTGCTAATTGGTCATGACATTGAAAATCCACTACAATGCTCCTCCTCCAACTCATTCATTCCAAGTTAGTTGTCCATGACCTCATTTTGTCATAAGCCTTGGTTATCAAACCATTTGTTTCTTTGTGCATATTGTGTTCATTTTGTCACTTACCTATGTATCTGTCATGTAAAACACTTATTTTTTTAATCCTTTTGTTTTCCATACATTTAAGAGTAATCTTAGGGTGTCTGTAAAACTATATGATAGCCAGCATAGTAAAAAAAAAAAAAAATACAAACCTTTAAAAAAAATAAGCAGTACATAGAAACGTAAATATAGTTTCAGGTCTCTTGTTTAAAATGATTCTTCCTTGACCAGGCACAGTGGCTCATGCCTATAATCCCAGCACTTTGGGAGGCCGAGGTGAGAGGATTGCCTGAGCCCACTGGTTCAAGACCAGCCTGGGCAACTTGATGAGACCTCATCTCTACAATAAATCAAAAAAATTAGCCGGGCATGGTGGCGTGTGCCTGTAGTTCCAGCTACTTGGAATGCTGAGGTGGAAGGATCGCCTGAGTTTAGTAGGTTAAGGCTGCGGTGGCCCTGAGCGTGCCACTGCACTCTAGCCTGGGCAACAGAGTGAGACTCTAACTCAAAAAATAAATAAATAAAATAAATAAATAAAATGATTCTTCCTCTTTTGATTCCATCATTGGCTTTATATTAAAATAAATCTTCTTGTTTTTTCCAGTTACTAAAAATTATCCCATGTACAACAAAATGGCAAAAGTTTATATCAAAATGAACAAGAAAAAGAACAATATATAATAAGCCTACAAATTAAGTAGTGCTAAATATAATTTAATACATACAAAACCAGAACACTATTTAAAAGCATTTAATACTCAATCTCAACTTATAGTAGATAAAATCACATGTCTAACAGTGCTATGATAAGCACTGATAAGATTAGATTATTTTGTTGAAGGTCTATGTTATGGAAAATGTAACCTGGGGGTATTTGACTGATGGGCTGTCTTAGAGAAGCTGACAGACTTTTTTGTACTTAGTTGACATCTGATATAAATTAGACACATTTCAGTCAATTATATTTATGCCTCAAAATAGCCTTCAAAATTGTGCTGTAATGTGAACACTGGTTAAACACAATAGTGGTACGTACCACCTTCCCCTCCCCCACATAAGGCCAGTAATTAAACTTGAAGAACAAAACAGATCAACATCCCTAAGCTATGACCGACTTTTGAACTAGTCTTGCATCCCTGCCAAGGGACCTGGCAAGGGGCTCCGTTTTCATTTTTCCTCCATCTTTCCCACTTATACTCTGAGTTAGTCCAGAGGGTAATCAGTGAATTAATTGGGGGACCGCATGAAAATTCCTAGCTTCTTGACAGATCTGCCATTGTGTTATAGGATTTGGGCAAAATAGTTAAGCCCTTTACCCTATTAAATAAATAAAAGGAAATTGCACATGATTGAAACCAAATGGGAAGCTACACTTAGGCACTGAAGTTTCTTTCTGCCCATATGGCTTCTCTGGCGGGTGGGGTGTTGGGAACCCGTTGAATTGTCTGGCCTGGGGCCATCTTGGCTCTTTGGTGCAGCTTCTCTCTGAAGGCCATTTGGCTTGTATCTGAAGGATGGAAAAAAAAAAGGTGCATTTGCATTTTCTTTAGCTTTTTTCCTTGTATTATCCTTGCTCTCAGATTTTATGCTGGCTTTGCTCTTTGAACCTGTCTCTCCTATCCCCAGAGTGGCAGTTTGCTGCTGTGCACATGCAGTGTCTGCTGGCACTGCCAGAGCGAAAGGAAAACAGGTCCCAAATGCAGTAAACGGTGCCATGGATGAAGTTATTAATTAAATGCAAAAACAAAGAGCCTGGCATTTTCCTTTGTTTTGAAAGAGTTTTTAAATCACCAGCTCTGATGTTTACCTGCTCTTATCTGTCACTGAGGTCTTACAGCACATGCAACTTGCATGCCACGGTCGGCACCATGGATGGCACCGTGTCCTCCAAGTGCTGTCAGGCAACAGACTTTCCTGCCTGTCCTTGGTTATGTCAAAATCACTGAGACTCACTTGCTTCATAATATTTTAAAGTTTTATAGACACCTGTTTTATTTTTTAATAGGTCACATCTATACTAACAAAATAACATGAGGAATTGGAATTACCTGGATAGTTCCTCCTAGAGATACTTAACTTGAATTATCTGGATAGGTATTCTGATTCTCCATTTTACTTTGTTAGAGTGGACATGGCCTCAGAATCCCTACATTAATTCTATCTAAATCATTTCAAATTTTAATTTCTAAAATATGAAAAATTCACTTGGCTTTCTCCCTTTTCTTTCCTTTTTTCTTTCTTTTTCTTTTTCCCTTATCCCATCTCAATGTCTCCTGGCCATCCGACCACCTTAATCTGGGCCCATTTGTCTTGATTTGTCTGACAGTGCTCTCACCAGTGCAGCCGCTGCCTCTTTTAACATGGGATACCTGTTATTTTCATTATTTAGTCCCAACCCCTATGTCTCCCTCCTCGAAATCAGCGAGCACTCCCAGTGAAGCTGGCAGCCAAGACTCAGGCGACCTGGGGCCATTAACAAGGTAAGAACTGTCCCTGTAAAAGGTCACGGTGGGATGTCAATAAGGCAGACAAGCACCATTAGAACACCACTAGGTGTACACAAATCTGCATGTGCACCCAGTCATTTATGTTTATACTGATGGTGCTTGCTATTTTTAGTGGCATAGCAATGATCTTGAATGCTAGAAATGGTAAACCTATATTCCACTCTTCCCTCAGTGGGCTAAGGTTGCACCATGTGTCTTGCTTAACACACACAAACATATCCATGAGTTTAGGCATAGAAAAAGTAGGGAAAGACCAAAGAAAAATTAGTCTCTATCCAGTTCTCATCATTCTAGGTTGGTTTTGGTTTCCATGAGAATCTTTGTGAATAGAACACCAAGACGTTCTAACCCTAAGTTTCATTTTTCAGGCATCTGGTTTATCTGCTTAGTAAAGTTGACTGCTTTGAAAACTCAGACCTCAAAGTGTTTTGTGATAATCATAATAATACTTTATTATTAATACTATTAATAATTATGTATATTGATAATTAATTTTTAATATAAAATATATTATAATAAATAATAAATAAATATATTATTATGAGTGACTGTTCATTATAGTGTCAGGGTTGACTGCTTCTGTTTAGTGAGTTAATTGCCAAATTCATATTTCACTGTGTAGACTCACAGCTCATGTGACTTCTGAAAGTGGATATGACATTCTCTAATTTGACCCCTGAAGAGATATCCCAATGGTAAAGATGTGAAAAGAAGGAGGCTCATTAGGTAGACAGAGTATCAGTGACTCTCCTCACCCAGCTGTCTTCCCCAGGAGTCCCCCATGCTGGCACCCACAGGCGAGTGACATAAATGAAGTGGCAGCTGGAGTGCCAGTGACCATTCACAAAGGCAGGCGGCCTCCTCACAGCTTAGGCTGGCCTGGCTTGTTGTGCACATGGGCCCAAGTTTTCCACATCTCCCATTTTTCATGAGAAGCTTGAAATTCAAATATTTAGGCAATGTTAATAACTTCTGTTCCAAGCATTTGTAAGCCACATTTGGCCTGCAGGCTGGTAATTTATCACCTTTGACTTTGACTTTTAATTTAAAAAGAAATCATAAAGTACCTTAATCAAGCATCAAATAGAAGAAACAGCACTACCCGTAGCACTGCTGTTGAAGCAAGTCACTCTGTGGCCTGTCCACCTACCTGCTGACCCCCATCTACCTGTGCACTCATCTTGCTGCCATTAGCATGTTGGGGGAAGGCAGATCGTTGTGCATTTTTCTCTTTTCACCAGAGGCATAATCATAAGCATCTTCTGAAAGCACACTGTTTCCACACAGGCTTAGGTAATCTGGTAGATGGAAATATGGATGTGAGGATAGTCTAGCACTGACCTGAGATGTAGACATTTTATTGCTTTTTGAAACCAGTATGAAGACTGGAATGACCTGGTCCATTGCTGCCTGTTGATGTGCTTCACCCCTGAGTATAGTAAGTCCCCTACACACGAACCTTCAAGTTACGAACTTTAACGATGCACACCTGTGTTTTTAATGTATTATTTCTCTCCACCAGGAGTCATATAGCCTGTTAAACACATGCAGTACTGTAGAGCTGATTGTGTTAATTGGGTACCTAGCTAACTTTGTTAAACTTAAAACAAATTGGACTTACAAATGTGCTCTTGGAACTGAACTCATTGGTATGTTGGGGACCTCCTGTATTTTGTTCTGACGGAGGCTTTTGAAATCAGTGACTACTGTTTTCAATTAAAAAAAATGAAACTAGAGGTTTCTGCAGGCACCAAGGTGGTTTTTTTGAGCAAATAGCCTATGTGATTTGGGGCAACACGTGCCTTTTTCTCATCTTTGGCTTTGAACACTTCAAAAGGTCTTTGAGGGGGAAAAAAATAATGACACAGTTGTAGAAGATCTACCATTACTCAAGAGCTGGCACCATATACTCACATTTCTGAGGGGTCCCCTGGCCTGTCATTAAGTTAACCTATGTGACTGTTTCTGTAAAGTGATGGCGTGTGTCACTGCCATTTAGCTTCAAGGGCTATGGCTGGCAGCATGACATTCTATTACTGACTTCACCACTGATGAGCCCTTTGGAAACTTTCTGGAGAAAGCTGACCTGCTCTGTTAGGACTCTGGGGACAACAGCAATTATTTCTTCTCAGAGAACTTCGCTCTTCATTTCTGGCCTCTTTTAAGTGATTTTTTTTTAAACTTGGTGACTCACTTTGTGAGAAGTGCCATCCACTCACACCCCACACAGTACGGTGTCCAGTTCTCTATGGGAAAGTTCTGGCAGGACTGGGTGACAAGGGGTCGATGAGTAAATCCCGTGCTAAGTGCAGGTTTCATAGAAATGCAGGAAAATTGGCACTGGAAAATGATAGTTTTCAGAAAAACTGAACAAAATGTTTGCTTGAGGAGAACACATTAGGAATAGCTTAGTAAATCTTGCCCTTGTTTTGAACTTAGGAAAATTCCACACAAATGTATGTTTTTTCTTTAATGAAATAAATATGAGAGTTAAGTTGCAGAAAGATGTTATATTTCAGTTTTTAAAATTCTACTTGGAATATCTTTTTGTGTTGAAGAAACATCTTTGAAAACAATTTCTATTAACTTTAACACTTCATAAAACAGGAACCTGGGAAAAGAGTTTGGTAATTCTTAAGAGTATAACTCCGTAGTCATGAATTTGCCCTTTTGTGTAGGACTTGGACTCTTAAAAAAATGGAAAATCTTTCAAACGATAACTTAGAAATCAATTTAACACGTCTGGTCATAGCTAGAAGTGCACATAAATTCTGTCATTTATTTGCCAAAATTTTAAACCAAAGCTAAAATTTTCTTTAGAAAGTCAAAATTAGCAAGCATTTTTTACAATCCCTATACTGGTTAATCTAAAAATTGGCATTCACAATGTACTCTGCTACTGGGAAAAAGTTTAAATAGTGCTGTAAAAAAGGCACACAAAAAAATCCCTTTTATTGATTTTAAGAGCAGCTGGGTAAATTTTAAAAAATTGGTAGAAATATTAATTTTTGAATTATGCTAACATGATCTAATTTAAAAATTTTAACTTTAAGTGTCACAATTTGCTTCTCAATGTCTGCTTCTGTTGTTATGGCCCACTTCTCATTTACAATTTGTATCTATGAGGTTGTTTTTTTTTTTGAGTTAGAGTCACACTCTCACCAAGGCTGCAGTGCAGTGGCATACTCATGACCACTGCAGCCTCAGCCTGCTGGGCTCAGGTGATCCTTCCGCCTCAGCCTTCCAAGTAGCTGGAACAATAAGCTTGTGCTACCATACCCGGGTTAGAGTATTTTTTCTTTCTTTTTCTTGATCAGTTGTTGTAGAATTAACTAATCATTGCTTAGTTAACTATACTGGGCAACAAGAAGCTCCTGGATTAAAAGAATTTTTTATTAATAAAACATTTGAAAATCTAGTTTTACTTGTAAACACAGATGAAAAAAAACTTTCATATACTGTTTATGCAACTGGAATCCAGCACAATACTAAGTAGATACTACACTATGGCTAACTAGTATTGAATGCAAGGATACTTTACCATAAGAAGGCTTGTTAACATTCTTCAGCATAGAAAAATGTCAAAGAGGGAAGAGTAATCATTGCAATATGTACTTAAACTTGAGAAATGCAAACACTCCTATATTTTAAAACTCAGTAAGCTAGGAATACAGATGTATTTTCTTAATATGATTAAATAATATTAATCTGAAATCAATAGCATACATTTTTTATGCATAGGCGTGAAGCATTAGCACTTTGTTGTTCTTAAAGAATGACTTTTGTTGAGTTGGACACAAGTCTAGTCTCTCGTCTTCACGAAATGATAAGTTCCTTGAAGGTAGGGATAAGTGATATCTGAGGGAATGTCCATGTAGTAGGTATTTGATACATTTGCTGAGATAGGTTTCATGCCTGTAATCTTAGCTGCTTGGAGGCTGAGGCAGGAGACTCCCTTGAGCTCAGGAGTTTTAAGACCAGGCTAGGCAGCATAGCAAGACCCTGTCTCTTAAAAAGGGAAGCTTGATACTCTGGTTTCTCTTCAGATTGTATAAATCTTTCACCTTTTACTAAAAAGGGAAGTTTGTTGAATGAACTATAATCCTGCTTGTTGCAGAGGGAACAAGTAATGTTCTCAAGTTCACATACAGCATTGCTACATTGCTAGATTTTAACCTAGGCAGGTTGACTTAAGTTTCACAATCTATATTTCTACCCTGCATGATCTTTAACACTAATCAAAAGTGATACACACCTGCCCCATAAGGTTAGGTTGTGATAATTAAATAAAGTGACACTGTAAGATACTTGGAAAGGAGTTTGCCACATATTAAGTATATGTGAGTTTTGACTATGATGATGATGATGGTGATGATGATTAGTATTGAGTCAAAGTCTTACTCTGTTGCCCAGGTTGGAGTGCAGTAGTGTGATCACAGCTCACTGCAGCCTTGACATGCTGGGCTCAAGCAATTCTTCTTCCTCAGCTTCCTGAGTAGCTGGGACTACAGGCATGTTAGCTGTTATTATTGTGTTTTTTCATACTTTGATTTAGCTATTTTCCAATGGGAAGAGATAATTTTAGATCCTCTTATAGAACACATTGGTGCCACTTTCAAATTTGATAAGTATGTCTGAATCTTTACTCAAGTAATTATGTAAAAATGTTAAAACATGACAAACCCGAAGATAGATTGTAGTCTCTGGTCCTACACACCATTTCTAGGTTGCCCAACCCTTACTCACTACCTGAAAATGAATCTATCCAAGTGCCAACCATCCAATCAACATTTATTCTTCTCATTCACTTGGGTGGCTCCCAAGAGACTTTGCAGTAGGGCTCTCTTCATGTTTATGATTCCCTAGGGTTCTCAATGACGGAACTGAGGGAGATGCTGTCCTGGCCTGCAGAAACCTCAGAAGGTGTATTAACCTTATGAAGTCCACTAAACCCCATGGCATAGGCTACACTC